GTATTTTTAATAGAGACAAGGTTTCACCATGTTGGCCAGGCTGGTCTCGAACTCCTGACCTTGTGATTCGGCCTCCCAAAGTGCTGGGATTACAGGCATGAACCACCACGCCCAGCCTCCTTTGTTTTCTTCTAAGAGCTTTAGAGTTTAATTCTTACATTTAAGTCTATGATTACGGTTAATTTGTGTGTACGTTACTGTTTTACATGTAGATATGCAGTTGTCCCAGCACCATTTGCTCAAAAGAGGAGTCCTTTTGAGTGTCCCCTTTAGTTAATGTCTTATTCCAACCTGTCACCAAATTTTGCTCTTTTTCCCCTTTAAAATGTTGAGTCATCCTTTCACTACTACCACCAGTTCCCAATCAAAATTTTCACCATCTCACACCTAGGTAACTGCATTTGCATCTATCCTTCCAGACTCTGCAAGCCAACCCTTCTAGGGGAGAAGCTTTCAGAAATGGAATTGAACTCACATTCAATTGTGAGTTCAGGAGGAGTTCCTACTACAATGTATACAGCATGAGGGCAAACTCCCGGTTCTGACTTCTCTCATCTGACCCCACCATGTCCACATCAACAGATCAAAGGCCCAAAACTTCATCATAGTTCAACTTCTCACTGAAGTGGAATTCTCTTTCTGCTATCCCTTTCCCTTCACCTTCTTCCTTTCTTTGCACTAAAATTAACTAAAATTAAAATTTAGTTAAAATTCTGTGGGTCCTGAAAGTCTCCTCCAAACCCCAGCTCCTTGCTAAAGCCTCCCTTGACCACTCCAGCCCTCATCAATCCTCTCTGACTTTCTACTACATTTGTGTGCTCTGCGGCACCAGTCATTACACAGATGACGTTGGTACACACAATTCCACTCTACCACCCAATATCAATGAGCATTTATCGAGCATCTACTGAAGATCACAGCATTGTGCAGGCAGGATACGTATCATACAAATGCTGTTTCCTCCTCCCATCAAATGAGGGAGAATTAGATTTTTTAAAATTCTTCCTAGTTCTACACCCAGTATTGTATACTGATTCAATTTAGAAGTTTAAGTTTAAAATTAATTGAAGGATTCCAGTTGAGAAAATGGTCCCATTTCCTTGGAAAGTAAACTAGCTCGGTCACCAGGCTAGGTTACCCACATTATAATTGCTTGTGACTTACTACTCCACCCTATTAATGATGACGTGCCCCCGACTTGAGATGCAGGCATTAGGGTATCTGTGATTTGATCTGCAGCTTAAACTGGGAGACCACTCCAAATCCTCAAAGTTAACTTAGAGTATCAGATTCAATCCCTCCCCCCCCCCCCAAAAAAAAAAAAAAAAAAAAAAAAATCTTTCAAATTGAAGAGGCAAAGTTTGATCCTTTCCTTGTTGAGAGATGAGAACAATAGCAGCTTTCTGCTCTAGCACAGCTTCAAAAGGCTGCCGAGGGACTGCTCTGAGAATTCTTGGTTGTAGATAACTGAAGAAATGCATGTGCAGCCTCCTGCGATTCAGTGCCGCATTAGCACGGGGGAAATAATTCTGCCCCTACTCTCCCAGAACCTTTAGTATAGCAACGATTTAACTAGGCAGATATAGGCAATTGCAAAGTTGAGTCTCCTTGGCAAGGAAGGGGGAGATCCAGCCAGTTAAGAAACATCTTACTGTGAAAGTCCAAAGAATTAAGAATTTGCTGAAATGATCTAAATAATATCTAGATTTTTTAAAAATCAGCTGGAGAGGGGTGACTGTCTAGTTGGATTTATACCAGAGCCGTGCATCCCTTCTTGCTTCAAGAAAATGCCCGAGGCGAGGTACCAAGCTTGGGCTCGAAGTAGCAACCCCAGAGTTAATCCCAGAGAGCGCAGAGCTGGTCCGTCCCCTGAGCAAGTGTCGCTGCTGGTTCACCTATCCGCCTCTTCCTCTCTCAGGTGGCAAGCAGTTGGCGCTCGCCGCCCGCCCGCGAAGAAACTGCAATGCAAACTTCCCAGCCTCGGAACCCCGCTGCTTGGAGAGCAGCTCCGCTGTGCCAGCCGCAGCCAGGAGACTGGTATTCAACCTCCCCGCCCCCCGCCACGGTTAAAGTTTGCTCCACATTCGCAGCTCCCACCCCACCCCCATCTCCGCCCCGAGGCAGGAGGACCACATAGGAGTTCCTGGGTCCACCGTGCGCAAACACACCCACCAACAAAAGAAAGCCCATTAAATCTTCCCTCCTGTGAACTCGCGCCCCAGCGGATACCTCTTTGAACTGACCCCCGCCCCCGCAGCCCCCGCGCTGTCTGGGGCGCGCCTGGCCCTCCCGGGCATGCTCCCTCCCCCCGGCTGCGCACTTTTGCAGCGCTCTCGGTCTTTGATGTCTCTTTACATTATGGCAGAGCAGCCACACGCTCTTCCCGGGCGCAGGGCTTTGTGTAATGGAACTGACATTTGGCCTTGATACCTGTATCTCTTGGTGATTGCAACAAATTTCTAAAATAAATATTGTACTTTGATCTCCCAGCATTGCATTTTTAATGGACGCTCTCAACATTACTTCATTAAGAACTTTTTTCAGGAGCTCCGAGGGCCAAGGGGGTTGTGGGAGACTAAACAGCTATTCGGCAAAGTCTCTCTCCAAACTTCAGCTGGGGCCTGGGAGGACGGGACTCTGGGCAGATTTTCACAAATGGAGATGAGGCCGAGAGCAGCCGACTGCGACCACTCAAGAGAGGGCCTTCTGTACGCTCAGCACAGTCCTAAAGACCTTGCATATATTAACTCTTAAACCTACAGCCACTCTACAAGGGGTGCACTATTGTAACTCCCATTTTACAAACCTCAAAACTGAGGTACACAGAGGCTGAGTACCTTGCTTGCCAAGGTCACCAACTAGAAAGTGTCAAGGCGGGAAAAATGTCTTCAGAGAGCTCGGACTCCGAGCTCTTAACCACCAAGCCACTAACTTTCACCCTGTTGCCTACTGATGGTGGTTTAACTGGCTAGTGGGGGCATCTTGGAGAAAAAGCTAACTCCTATAACTATGGAGATGTGAAATGGCTCTTCTGGCTTTTTTGGGAAAGTAGCTATCAGATTCAACAAAAAGGGCTGCCTTCCATCCTGCTTAGCCAGGCCCTGCCCGCCTTCCTAGGAAAGGAGACTTCGAAGAGCTCAAGGGAGTTGGAAAGGAAACAAGCGCTAAGGCACCAGATCGCTTCGACGGTGCGGGCATGTGCAGGCGCGAGTGCGTGCCAAGGGACTCTCTGGCCTCTGACTTGCATCCGGGAAAGGGCTCCCTCGGGTCCCACGCTTCTCCAAGACTCAAACCCTGGACGGGACCGTGGTAAGGAGCAGGTCGGCCACGCCTCCGATGAAACCACTAAGGTCTCTCCCCTTCTCCGCTCCCAGAGCAGCTGATCTCATCTTCAGAAGCCAGATCGGGTTGGCCAAGCTGTGTGGTCGCCGCTCGTGTTCTAGAGGGGACAGCTCGTTGTGGGAGAAGGGCGCGGTGCGAGTGCAGGATGTGCGAGGGACCCATTGTTTTTGGGTCGCAAGCAGCCCATCCGTCTTCAGTACGATATTCTCTCCCGCAGGCTCGCCCGTGGGAGAAGGTGGGCCCAGAGGCATCGCGTCCCCGACCCCTGATGGAAGTGCGGAGGGCATCCTTACACGCCCCAGACTCCGAGTCCGCTGTAGTTAGGCTAACCTCTGACGCTGCATCGGGAGATAGGTCATCCCGTCCGTCGTCTCCCGTCCGTCCCCGGTCGCGGTGCGGTTCCGTGAGGAAGACGGGCAGAGAGGCCGGGCGCGAGCTGATTAGGGGCTCCCCCACGGTCGGCGGCCTGGAGAGTGGAGACCGTGTCCGCCAGGAGGTGGGTGGGGGAAAGGAGTAGGCCGAGCTCTGGCGGCCACTCTGCAGTGCGGTCTCGCGAGCCGGGGCCGCGAGGCCTCCAACACGGTTCCGCGCCCCTAATGCCCCAGGGCGGTGAAGACCCCTCGGCGCCCCGCCCACCTCTTCCTCCTTCCCCGCCCGCGCGCCCTGGGGAAGCGATCCCGGGGGAAGTGATCCCGGGGTCTGCAGTGCCGGGGCAGGACGCGCCCTGCGCCCTGGGCCTGGAGGAGGCAGACAGCCCTTCTCGGCAGGAAGTGAGCGGCCAGGGAGGGATGGGGATCACCCAAGCCCCGGAAAGCGCGACCCTGCCCATGGCAAAGCACGCCCCGCGCCTGGTGAGGAACTTTTTGTTTCCAAAGGTGACAGGAACAAATTTGTACTGACTTTTCTCCCCCCGTCGGGGTTCTCTCTGGTATGATTTGTGGTTTGTGGAACCACAACAACCAGGCTTCCTAGACCGCGCCTCAATTTTTTCGAGTAGTTCTTGGTCTGTCAGGCTTGCGAGAGCGCTCGCTGCCTTGGGGGGGCTCCGAGCGAGAAATCACCAGCGGTACTGGGGCTTTCGGCCCCCCACAGCCCGGCCCGGGCCTCCTGGGGGTCCAGGGTGGCCTAGGGAGAAGGGGGCGGAACAGCACAGCTTCTCCCCCTCAGATGGGCATGACGGGTCGCCTTGGGTGTCCTGCCAAGCTCAGCTTTGAGGGTATGCGCGGCGCGGGTGTTTTTTCCAGGTCCACACTTTGCAAAAGTTGTGGCCTGAGGAAAACTTCCAGGTCGCCAGCAGGAACGTCACAGGAGAGCCCCGGTAGCTCGTCAGGCGGGTGGCCCTGGAGCGTGCGCGCCACCCAACGCCGCGCTGGGCGGCCGCCCGGCCCCGCCCCAGGTCACAGCCCTGCCCTCGGCCCGACCGCGGCGGGCGGGGGACACGCGGCGGGCCGGGCGCGGTCGGTCCCACGCCCCACCGGGGGCCTCGCTTGGGTCCGCTGTGTGCGCGGGCGGGTGAGTGTGCGGCGAGGGTGCAGGGTGTGCAAATAAATACAGGGGAGAGTTACGCTCCTTCCTGTTTCAAAGTCCGGCGCCTGGAAGCCGAAGGCAGATTTTTCTAGAGTTAACAAAGACACTTTGTCACTTTGGGCGCTGCCTCGGTGCAAATCTTTAATTGCAAGTGTGTGTGTGGGGGGGGGGGGGGGGGGGGGGGGAAGAGTGTCTCGAGCAACCCTAGCGCTGGTCTCCAGGCGGCAAGGCCCCCTTTGATCAGGAAAATCCAATTATTTGTGTATATACATTTCCCACATAGTGATTACTTCATTAATTGTCCCGCCTTTATCTCCTCCCTTCCCATCCCCCCTAATAATCAGTTCTTTTATCCAGACCAACAAACACACCATAGGAGCTTTGTGGATTCAAAGGATTTGCTTTCGCTTCTGAAAGAGCCGCTATTCTTTGATGATTGGGTAGCGGCAAACTTCAAAGCCATAAATCTTCCCTCTGACTGGCTGGCGGCCCAGCAAAGTCCTTATCAAATTCTTGGAGGTGATCCTGAAGCGCTCAGACCGCGCGCGGGGCTAGCGAGCGGGGCGCGGCGAGGGGCGAGGGCGGGGAGGGCCCCGGCGCGCAGAGCAGGCGCTGGGAGGCAGTCTGGGCGGTCGTTCGTCCTCGCCTTCGGGTGTCCATGCCTCGGTGGCGGCGCCCCGCTCCGCAGCCAGCGGCCTGCAAGCCGTAACCATGGCCGCGGTGGCCGTCCTCCGGAACGACTCGCTGCAGGCCTTTCTCCAGGTTAGGGCCGAGCCCGGAGGGGGCGGGAGAAAGGTGGAAAAGGCCACGTCCGGATCTCTCCTGGTACTCCGTGCACCTTGAACCTCAAAGGGAACCCAACCGATGGGTGCAGCTGGAGCCTGGCCTAGGGGTACCCACGCCAACTTCACACCTAATCCGGTGTGGCCTTTGCGGGAGGGACGCGTGGATCCGGGATTGTTTGGAGGTGCCCGGCTGGCCGAGAACAGGACGGGAGCTCACCCTGCTGGGCCCTCCTGCTGACTTCAGCCTGGGGCGGGCCGGGGAGGAGCGCGAGGGCAGTGAGGACAAGGGAGCTTAAAAGATGGGAGGGAGGGTGGCTGGGCGGCGGGGTTGTGGGTGTTTCCCGACTCTTACTGACCACCGAGCCGGGAGCGGCCTGTCGGACGCCTCCCCCTCCCACTTTGCGCGTGCTTCCTCTAAGGCTGGACGGCGTCTCAGTGCACCAAGTAGTTTAGCAAGAAGCGCTCGCGTGCCCCACGTTCAGGTAGTGCAGGCACCAAAAGTTTCCCGCGGCCGGTGGGTGCGTGCGTGGAGTGCGGTGGCGGGGGAGGGACGGCCGGGACGGAAGAGTGGCGGCAGTATAATAGTGGGCGTGGGGGCGGCGGGCTGGCCCGGAGTCCGCGCTTGGAGCTAACCTTTTGTCTCTTCTCCTCCCTCCCTCGCCGCCTATGCAGGACCGCACCCCCAGCGCCTCCCCGGACCTGGGCAAGCACTCGCCCCTGGCACTGCTGGCCGCCACCTGTAGCCGCATTGGCCAGCCTGGCGCGACGGCTCCCCCGGACTTCCTGCAGGTGCCCTACGACCCCGCGCTGGGCTCACCCTCCAGGCTCTTCCACCCGTGGACCGCCGACATGCCGGCGCACTCGCCAGGCGCACTGCCGCCCCCGCACCCCAGCCTGGGGCTGACGCCGCAGAAGACGCACCTGCAGCCGTCCTTCGGGGCTGCGCACGAGCTTCCCCTCACACCCCCCGCCGACCCCTCGTACCCCTACGAGTTCTCGCCGGTCAAGATGCTGCCCTCGAGCATGGCGGCTCTGCCCGCCAGCTGCGCGCCCGCCTACGTGCCCTACGCGGCGCAGGCCGCGCTGCCGCCCGGCTACTCCAACCTGCTGCCCCCGCCGCCGCCGCCGCCCCCGCCGCCCACCTGCCGCCAGTTGTCACCCAACCCGGCCCCCGACGACCTCCCGTGGTGGAGCATCCCGCAGGCGGGGGCCGGACCGGGGTCCTCCGGGGTTCCGGGAAGCGGCCTCTCCGGAGCCTGTGCCGGGGCTCCCCACGCGCCCCGCTTCCCCGCCTCTGCGGCCGCTGCTGCTGCGGCCGCCGCCGCCCTGCAAAGAGGCTTGGTGTTGGGCCCGTCGGACTTTGCGCAGTACCAGAGCCAGATCGCCGCGCTGCTGCAGACCAAGGCCCCCCTGGCGGCCACGGCCAGGAGGTGCCGCCGCTGCCGCTGCCCCAACTGCCAGGCGGCGGGCGGCGCCCCCGAGGCGGAGCCGGGCAAGAAGAAGCAGCACGTGTGCCATGTGCCGGGCTGCGGCAAGGTGTACGGGAAGACGTCGCACCTGAAGGCGCACCTGCGCTGGCACACGGGCGAGCGGCCCTTCGTGTGCAACTGGCTCTTCTGCGGGAAGAGCTTCACGCGCTCGGACGAGCTGCAGCGGCACCTGCGGACTCACACGGGCGAGAAGCGCTTCGCCTGTCCCGAGTGCGGCAAGCGCTTCATGCGCAGCGACCACCTCGCCAAGCACGTGAAGACGCACCAGAATAAGAAGCTCAAAGTCGCTGAGGCCGGGGTTAAGCGGGAGGACCCGCGGGACCTGTGAGCCCTCCCGGAGGTGGACCCCCTTCCCAGCACCTCTGCGGGAGATCCGGGGACCTGTGGGCAGCTGGCGGAGGGGAGACTCAGCAGATGGACCCTCCCTGTTGCCTGCCTCCCAAAATGGAGCCAGGCTCCCAGCTTCCCCTACCCTCGGACACAGGGACCTAGTTCCCAGGAGCGGGGAGGTAGGGTTGGTGCTGGGGCATTTGGGTTATAATTGGGAGCTCTGCCTTACCCTAGGGCGGTTCCAAACTCTAAACCGTTCCCACCATCTGGGAGACCTACAGTTTTGGGGGACCACCCTGGGCTGGCCTTGTATATAGGAAATGCTGCTGAATTGAAGCGAAAGGAACTTGGGAGATTTGAAATAGTGCTCGGGTTTTCGCTAGGACCGGTTTGGGCTTTGTACAGGTTATTTAATAGCTTTGTTAAAAATAATTATAATAATTATAACATTAATAAAAATGTTGCTTTTGTCTTCAGCTCCATGCAGAGCTACAGCATGATATGTCTCTGTAAAGTGATCAGCAGTTGCACCGTGAAAATAAATACGTTAACTCAGGGGTCACTACAGGAAGACCCCGCTGAGCCGGTCTCATTTGATCTTTTCTTCTTCTGGGAGGCCGTACTAAGGGGTAGGGTTTCACCGGGAATTTGATGGTTCCTATAGTCTGCCTATGTCGGAGGTTTCTTTGGTTTGGAAGAATCTGGGCAAATGTGTTGGGTTCAGGAATGGAAAAAGGCAGGCAATTCCGTTTTGTGGTAAAGAGGTAGGGCAAGATTTTTCAATCACAACTTGAGTTTCTCATGCGGCCTTAGGACTTCACCCGAGACTGTTTCTCTTCCAAGTTTGCTTTTACCTGACGAATTCCTTGTGGCTTTCCATTTGTTGGTACTCTCGGGACAGGTTACAACTATGCTGGTGTTAAGAGAGGTATTAGAGGCGCGAGGGTCTGTTCACAGGTGAGACTTTGGGGAGAGGTACAGAGAAAAGGGACCCTTGTTCAGGTTGGTCTTTGCCTGGGAAAAAACCAAGAAGATAGTTTCCCAGACGTCACTCCTGTATTTCAGTCCCATCACGATAACCCAGCGTTGTCTTGCTTGTTTTCTTCTTAATCTTACTGTGGAAATCTTAACAAGTCTTATTTCACAGTAACAACCCAGGGATTTCTGGTTAGGCCAGGACGTTTAGTTCCATTTTGTATCTGAATTTTATTATGTTTTAAATCATTGAAGTAGTCTAAGATTTTCTCAGGGAAGAACCAGGAATACTCATGGTTTGGAAATGTGGAAATAGGGTATTTTTTTGTCTAGGTGCCTCGCCTTTCTCTAAAAGTTGAAGTTTTGAAGTTTACAAATGTTTTATCAAGTGTCTAACTCCTTGATATTTTCTAATATTTGAGTTTTTAAACCTGTAACTGCACGTTTAATCAGCAGTTAAATCTTCTGATTTAAGATTAGCAAAGAATAGAAAATGTTCTAAATTTTATTAACATGTTAAGCTAGCATCATTAATGCCGAATTTTAATAGAGCCGAATAATCTTTTCATGATAGTAGAAGTGTCTACAAATTGATGGGATTTCACAGTTTACAAACTGCTTTTACTTTGCCTTTTGTTTGAAGTCAAACTGAAGGATCAGTTCTTAAAAGCTTTGAGGGTTGTTCTTGAATTCTTATATGAAGTAAAACACAAACATCAACATAATTTGGGTGAAAATTACTTTTATACTCCTAAGAAATAGCATTTTTTTATTCTGTAACTTAGGACAAGGTATTCTGTAACTTGGGACAAGGTAGTAAATGAGTATTAGATTCATAGTGCAATATGCCATAGAATAACGGATATTGGAACTATTTAATGACTAATTAGAATGTGAGTCTTCATGGTTCTTCACCTGGTAAGAGGAGTTTGGGTTAAATTTTCAAGCGTGTGGCAGTTTTGCAAGCAATAGTGATGAAGTTGCTAGGTAGTAACATTAATACACACCTAAATATGTAATCTTAATCAAAATCATTAGATCTAAGTCATTATATTAAGATTACACATTTTGATGTATAAATCAATGTGAAAAGTTACAGAAACTCTCACCTTTCCCTAAAAAGTTACAGAAACTCCCATCTGAACCATACCCCAGGATTAACTGTAGATTCAGAAAAGGATTTTTGAAAAGTTTTGGGAAAGAGGAATCCTTGTTAGAGAGTGAAAAGACCAAGGGCTTTGGTCTTTTTGAAATGATTTGAAATGATTCTTTCATCTAAAAGAATGACCTTGGTAGAGAAAGAAAAATAGCAATTTAAAAATGAGTCTACTAGCTATTATTGACAGAGCCAATCATTTATTTAGTATCCAAACAGAAGAAGTGTTGAAGATAAAGTTTTCTTATAATTTTTTTGGTTAAGCATATGGAATTTAATATCTAAAGAAATGAGATATTGGAGATAGATAACTCTGTGGTTATTAAGAGGAAAAACTAGATAAACTATATACAATTTTTTAAAGCAGAACAAAGTTATATGACAAAATAACTTTCTTATGGTTTTACTTAATTGCACCTGCAAATTGAAAAAGTATGGTCTTTAACTTGGTACAACTTAAAGGCTTGCTGATTGTACACTGCAAATCTGATAGAATTTGTAACATTTAAAAAGTAGGCAGCATTTAAAAAGTAAGTTTAATCCACCAACTTTATTCAAGGTTTCACTTAAAGATCCCAGCACACAATTCAATTAAGTTTAAAAAACTAATTGAAGAAAATATGTTAATGATTGCCTCAAATGTCAGTAGACATTGTAGATTTTAAAGCAACTGTTTTGTTAGCATGCAAATGTAATGTAGAGTGTTACATTCTTTAAAAATACTAAAATTCATGTGATGTTACTTTAATTTTAACAGTTTTTGGACCATTTTGAACAAGAACATGGAAACATGGAGAAATTGGAATATCAGTAAATTAGAAATTAGTAAATTGAAATATCAGTTAATTTAGAATTGTGCATTTCTGAATTTATTAACACTGTAGTTTTCTGCTTTTCTCAAGAAAAAATTGTGTAATAATACCCTTAACTGATCACTAGTTTTAAATAGTTCTGATAATGAATGAAAGTAAATAATGTTAAAGAAAATACAACTGTAATCTCCATGTTATTTTCTAGTTTCAACTAGTGTTTAAATCTTGTGACTATATTATTCTTTTTTTTTTTTTTTTTTTCAAATGGAGTCTCGCTCTGTCGCCAGGCTACAGTGCAGTGGCACCATCTCAGCTAACCGCAACCTCTGCCTCCCGGGTTCAAGCAGTTCTCCTGCCTCAGCCTCCTAAGTACCTGGGACTACAGGTGCGTGCCACCACACCCGGCTAATTTTTGTATGTTTAGTAGAGACTGGGTTTTACCATGTTGGCCAGGATAGTCTCGATCTCCTGACCTTATGATCTGCCCACCTTGGCCTCCCAAAGTGCTGGGATTACAGGCGTGAGCCACTGTGCCCTGCCTTATATTGTATATTCTTTTAAATTATTTTACCTTAATCAAACAAGACATGCCAATTAAAAAGAGGTTAATCTTGCCAAGAATGCCTCTTGCAGAAACCTATTTGAAACAATGACATTTGTAGAAAAGTCAGGTTTTTTATACCCCAAGATGTACTATTTTCTATTCTAATATTGTGAGGTTTTAAGTATTAGTTTAAAGCAACATCGTCAGTGTTTTCTATTTATTTCATTTCTGCTATGACTGTTTCACAGAATGTTTTTATAGCTGTAGCTATGACTTCAAATTCATGTAAACATCTAGTAAGTTGTTTAGGACTCTAAAATTGCAAGCCACTTTACTTGCATTAGCTCATCACATTAAATAATGACAAGTCAAGGTAAGTTGACCATTCTCATTGGGAAATAGCCTGTGTTATAGAATAGATTCAAACCTTAAGCTTTGTGTTATAGTAAGTGCAATTATAGTTTGCTAATGTCCCAAATTGAGGGCCACTCAAAACAAGTGATATTAATTTTCTGTTAAATATCATGACCTTCTTCTGGTTTGCATGATAGAGAGAACTTTAAAAGAGTAAGAGACCCAGGGCAGTTTTGAAATGTTATGCACCAATATAGTTCAATAGAGTAGGAAAAAATAAGGAAAATAGATAAGATGTATGTTGGTAATGAGATATATGTTTAGATTAATACAACAAAAGAGCATGTTTCATTATTGGACCACTATAATGGTAACCTGATTAGTGTGGCATGTGATTTATTTAATATAGACAGTAAATTTTTCTCTGATGTTGTTCAGACTCAACACATTTTTGTATAAAGATCTTGATGTCCGTTGCTCCTTCCTTGATTATTTTTAAAGAATCTGATATGTTGCCAGAGACAGCAGTGTTTCAGATTAATTTATGGACATTGTAGAATAATTTAATGTTCCTGACTATAATGAACAAGTGGTATTTGTTCAACAAAGATGTAGTCAAACAGCTATGGACTGATAGTTTCTCAGTTGTTTTGCTATTACAACTTATTACCAATTGAAGATTTGTACATGAAGATTGATATAGTTTCATGCTGACATTTTGATGACTTCCCTTTCTAGACCTTATGCACTTTTCTTTCCGTGTCTCCAGCTGAATTATCTAAAGTATAATCCTCCACTGGATATTTGAGACTTAATTCATAAATCAACCCATGCATATGAACTATAGTAGTATCTGCACAACACATAATAACCCACATTAACTAATATATTTTGGTTGTCTACCTAATACCAAAATTTAATTCAGGGTAAATAAACCCAGCTCTCAGTTTGATACCACCTGGAAAATCTGCAGCTTTCCCTTTTTAAAAAGTTGTTTCAGCAGTATGAAGATTCATTATGCCTATTTTGAAATGGAAGTTTGTTTAACAGTAAAACTATTCATCTAATATTTTCATTACTTGTCAAAATTCTGACATCAAAATACACTAAAATTTTCTAAAGTCTAAGGCAGTGTCTTCATGTCATCTGATTTTTTCATATAGTTAAACCAGTCATATATGGGTGCTTTCTAATCATTTTATGTTTAGCATAATCTAAAACACAGATGGAAAACATCTGGCCCTCAGCTTAATTTTACCCAATTCATGAGGCAAATATCAAGGCTAACTCATTTATGCTTATGGTTGGGAAAATGTGTCCTAATTTTAAAAATATTTGGTGGCAACTTCCTAAAAGTCTACATCAGATACCATGAAAGCTCATTTCTCTTATCTCTATGTGAGTTTTATTCTTATAAATTCTATGTCTTGCTTTCTTTTCCATTCTGACTGTGGATGTCACGTCTTCTATATATTCATGTCCATCTCTAGCATGGAAACTTTCATTTTGTGTCATGTGTCTCTCTTGCTTTTCTCAAAGTATTTATGTCCATGATTTTATTTTGCTCCCAATAAAGCAGAACTCAACAGGATTCTAAACTGTAGTATTTTAAATCTATTGTTTCGGTTTTTTGTTGTTGTTGTTGTTGTTTGAAACAGAGTCTCACCCTGTCACCCAGGCTGGAGTGCAGTGGCACGATCTTGGCTCACTGCAACTTCTGCCTCCTGGATTCAAGTGATTCTCCTGCCTCAGCCTCCCAAGTAGTGGGATTATAGGTGCCGCCATCACACCCAGCTAATTTTTTTTTTTTTTTTTTTTTTGAGACAGAGTCTCGCTCTGCCACCCAGGCTGAAGTGCAGTGGTGCTGTGTCCGCTCACCACAAGCTCCACCTCCCGGGTTCACGCCATTCTCCTGCCTCAGCCTCCTGAGTAGCTGGGACTACAGGTGCCCACCACCACACCGGACTAATTTTTTGTATTTTTAGTAGAGACGGGGTTTCACTGTCTTAGCCAGTATGGTCTCGATTTCCTGACCTTGTGATCTGCCCACCTCGGCCTCCCAAAGTGCTGGGATTACAGGTGTGAGCCACCACGCCCAGCCCTAATTTTTGTATTTTAGTAGAGATGGAGTTTCACCACATTGGCCAGGCTGGTCTCGAACTCCTGACCTCAGATGATTCACCCACCTCGGCCTCCCAAAGTGCCGGGATTACAGGTGTGAGCCACCATGCTTGACTGTATTTTTAATAGACATTTGTATTCTTTGGTGTAAATTTTACAAGTGCATGAATTAAATTTATAGTTCTATTTGTTGATTCAATTCATATTTTATTTAGTACATTGCTGATGTTTCCTGTGAATTTGTGAACATCAGTAGGAAAAATACATGGCAATTGAAAGTAAAATTATAAAATATAATAGAAGATTATGGTTTGAGGTAATACTTGTTTGGATTGATTTTAGTAAGTAAAAAATATACAAATGAAGTATATTTATATACCTAAGTCATTAAACATAGCCCTTTATTTCTTGAGCTATAATTTTAATAAGGGGGAATGTGAACTAAGACCTATAAGCACATAGCTATGTATATTTCTCATTGTGGTTATTACCTTTGATGGAGACTTGTTTTTCTTTTAAGCCTTTTTCTCCCCTTTTTGATCGTTGAAGTCCATGTTGTCTCTTGATAGTACTGCAGACAACTGCCAGGAAAGTCATCATGGTAAGAAATTCTGTAGTGAGCCTGGGTTTGAAGTAGAAAGTTGCCAAATCGTTTTCTAGAGAGAAAGCACTCCCTTCGTCAGTCATGATTCAGACTTGTCAATAGCAAGCCTGTGTGCCCTGAGCAGCCAGCAGCTAGAGGCTGTGGGGCTGTGGCTGCCCCCCTTGCTTCTGGAGCAGGGAGATCTAGGAATAAGGACAGGGGAACCAGATGGAGAATAACAGCCATGGGGAATATCCTATCTAAACAGGATATCAAAAGGGGTTGAAATAGGGTCATTGAGTAGAAGTAGAAAGGCAAGTTTCGAGCACCTTCTCAAATTTGGAATGGACCCCAGGAAGGAAGGTGCCTCCCTCACCCCAGGTTTTTGGAATTTTGTGTTTTGTGTTTTTCGTTTTTTTTAACTAAAGGTGAGTATGAGTAGGCTGTAGAGGAGATGTGGTGGACTTTAAGGACCTTTGGACTTGAATTTTCCTTATGGTCTGTTCCAAAGCTGAAATGCCTCAGATCTAACATCTGTAAGCCAAAAAGTCTGAATAAATCTTATTTTAGCTGGGCACAGTGGTACATGCCTATAATCCCAGCTACTTGGGAGGCTGAGGCAGGAGAATCGCTTGAACCCATGAGGTGGAGGTTGCAGTGAGTGGAGACCACGCCACTGCACTCCAGCCTAGGTGGCAGAGTGAGATTCTGTCTCAAAAAAAAAAAAAAAAAAAAAAAAAAAAACCCGAATATATGAGCTGCATACTTAACTTGATGTTTGTTATTTATAATTATTACATGTAGGAAACTAGGCACAAAACATGTATACATAACTAAATTCAATTTGCCAAACAATGATTTGAAGTCTACAAGATGTAAGGTACAATGAGGATTTAAAGATGAACACAGTCCTTCAAAGAGCTCACAGTCACAAAGGAGATAAAACATAGGCACAAATGAATGTAATACAAGGCCTAATGCCTGATAAAAGCGACCAACAAAACTCCTCTAAAAACACAAAGGAAAGAGAAATTACTTCAGGTAATAACAATGATAAACTGTTTTATTCCACAAATGGATATTCTGCTTTGAAAAACAATCTCCAAACTGCATCTATGGCATTCAGAATCCAATCAGAATCCAATTCAGAGGTGTTAGTTCAAGACAGTGTGGTCCCCAGACCTGCAGCATCAGCATCACTTGGGATCACTGGTTAGAAATGCAGATTCTCGGGTCCAACCGCCAGACTTACTAAATCAGAAACCCTGGGAATCTGTGTTTTAACCAGCCCTCCAGGTGATTCTAATGCATGCTGATGTTCGAGAACTACTGGTTTAGGAAACCGCACATTTTAACCATGTGCAAGATGGAAAATATGTAAGCAAATTCTAGCCTAAGACATTTCTCACAAGTTACTTTGGGAAAATAGAAAATGGATAGACTGGCTGGGCACAGTGGCTCACGCCTGTAATCCCAGCACTTTGGGAGGCCAAGGCAGGCAGATCACCTCAGGTCAGGAGTTCAACACCAGCCTAGCCAACATGGTGAAACCCCACCTCTACTAAAAATACAAAAATCAGTCGGGTATGGTGGCACGCGCCTGTAATTCCAGCTATTCCGGAGGCTGAGACAGGAGAATCGCTTGAACCCAGGAGGCGGAGGTTGCAGTGAGCCAAGATCGCACCATTGCACTCCAGCCTGGGTGACAAAGCAAGATCCGTCTCAAAAAGAAAAAAAAAAGAAAATGGATAGACCATTTGGCTGAAATTCTCACCCAATTGAGAATATTGGGCTCTAACTCCCAATGCGAATACAGCAATAGTCTTAATTAAATATCGATCCTTACATGCATGTTATGTAATTATGTAGACAATTGTCCTTTTTATAGTATGTAATACCAATAGAGGATTTACATTTTGAATTATAAATCATACATTTTATATGTTAGTGGAATTTTCCCCATTAAGTCGAACAGTGACTTTAGCAATATCTGGTTTCCTAAAGGGAATACTCAGCTAACTAAGCAGTATTTAGTGTCATTAGATGATTAATAACCAAACATCATGAGTCATATATAAACTCCACCACTAAGAGTAAAAAACACATATCTATTCTGTGCTGCAGAAATGCAATGATGGCTCTTCTAAAAGATAAGCATAGTCACCACCAGCCTCTGTTTTGCTACAATAGCTTTTTGAAACTACGCACAGGGAAGTATAGAAGCCTGGAGCTTCTCTGTAGTACACATGAAAAACTTAGAACATTGTGGATATTTAAACCAAGAATGTTCACTTTCCTCTGGTTCTAGCCCATTCCTCATTGGTCCACCTTTTTTCTCCTCTACAAAGTCTTTCTTGCTCAAAGTGCATTTCAGGGCTGTATCCCAGACCAGAACATGATTTAGTAAAATTTTTTTGGCAGTTTATTTCTGACCTTTGGGATTATAGAAAGCTGCTGGGAATTACCAGTACCAGGGAAGCCTGTAACATAAATGAAAATACCTCTATGGCCGGGCGCGGTGGCTCAAGCCTGTAATCCCAGCACTTTGGGAGGCCGAGACGGGCGGATCACGATGTCAGGAGTTCGAGACCATCCTGGCTAACATGGTGAAACACCATCTCTACTAAAAAATACAAAAAGCTAGCCAGGCAAGGTGGCTGGTGCCTGTAGTCCCAGCTACTCGGGAGGCTGAGGCAGGAGAATGGCGTAAACCCGGGAGGCAGAGCTTGCAGTGAGCTGAGATCCAGCCACTGAACTCCAGCTCGGGCGACAGAGCAAGACTCCAAAAAAAAAAAAAAAAAAAAAAAAAAAAAAAGAAAATACCTCTATGATTCTATGATTTTTTTTTTTTTTCAGAGAATGGGCTCCTCACTCTGCCCCCAAGTCTAAATTATCTAATCATCATTGTTTGGGGTCCTTTAGGAGGCCCCCAGTGAACAATAACAAGAAGCTAGGATGATGCTGACTGTAGCATATTCCCAAGGTGTCCCCACTCCCTGAGAGATCAAGGGAGCTCTCAACGATGAGATAAATCTTCCCAGCCACAACTTACAGAATTTAGCATGTTGGGTTGGAGACTTAAAAATCACTGACTCTGAGGCTGGGCACAGTGGCTCACACCTGTAATCCTAGCACTTTGGGAGGCTGAGGTGGGTGGATCACCTGAGGTCAGGAGTTCAAGACAAGCCTGGCCAACCATGGCCAACCTGGTGAAACCCCATCTTTACTAAAAATACAAAAATTAGCTGGGCGTGGTGGCAGGCGTCTATAATCCCAGCTAATCGGGAGGCAGGAGAATCACTTGAACTGGGGAGGCAGAGGTTGCAGTGAGCCAAGATCAGGCCACTGCACTCCAGACTGGGTGACAGAGGGAGACTCTGTCTAAAAAAACAAAAATCAGCAACTCTGACCCTCTCATTTAACAGAGGAGAAAACAGACAGCATGCCAGATCCAATGAAACCATCATTATCCATGTGCGTTAACAAGTAAGCACATTCGGCCGTGCGCGGTGGCTCAAGCCTGTAATCCCAGCACTTTGGGAGGCCAAGACGGGCGGATCATGAGGTCAGGAGATCGAGACCATCCTGGCTAACACGGTGAAACCCCGTCTCTACTAAAAAAAAAATACAAAAAACTAGCCGGGCGTGGTGGCGGGCGCCTGTAGTCCCAGCTACTCGGGAGGCTGAGCCAGGAGAATGGCGTAAACCCGGGAGGCGGAGCTTGCAGTGAGCTGAGATCCGGCCACTGCACTCCAGCCTGGGCGACAGAGCGAGACTCCATCTCAAAAAAAGAAAAAAAGAAAAAAAAAGAAAACAAGTAAGCACATTCAATAGGAATCCAGCAGCCTAGCAAAGGAAGAGATGGTTGAGGAGCATAGAGACTGAGAGAAGACTCAGGGAAGAAGTATGGAGAGAAGCTTTGGTCTGAAGTTGCCAAAGAAATAGGAATGGTGGCTCTCAGATTTTTACATGCATGAAAATTACTTTAGATGCTTATTTAAATGGAGGATCCTGAGCTACATCCCTAGAACTACTAATTCATTTGGTCTAGGTGTGAGGAAGCTGGTTTCATTATAACCATCACCCCAGTGACTCTAAGACAGGTGGGTGGAAGATCACCATTAGAGAAATGCTTCCTTACGAGAGAAAACTAGTGAATGGGGTAACATCTACACATTTTGACAATGGCAAATGCTCAGGTAATAAATCCATATCTAATTTTCCTTTTTAAAAAGTCCACAGCTGATTGTTGAGGTCTGACACAATATATTCCATGATTCGAAGAGGAGAAGTGACTTAGAAGCTTTATCTTATTTACCTGGGCCTGTGCCAAATGCTGTAGTAGATGTCATGATCCTTTCCCTGTCAAAATATAAGAATAAAGACACTAAATGATCACTTGGGTTTGCTAAATTCCCAACTAAAATTAATTAAATTCTGAACTGAAGTCACAAAAATTGAGTTATATATGTTCTAGATATTTTATTCTAGGCTCATATCTTTCTGTGACAGTTCAGAATCAAAGAGTCATTGAGGTTTATAACCAAAATGATTTCAGAGTTCACCAAATCAAACCTCTTTATTGTACAGATGAAGCAACCAATGCTTATCAAGGTCCAGCCCTCGTAGAGTTTGCATTCTAGTAAAGTCACCGTGTTGTAAAATCGTACTCCCTCACCTGATGTCTTACCTCTGTATCATTCCACTCACTTTTGGATTCGTGTATTCCACAAGTATTTGTTAAATATTTACAGCTGACACAGATGAACATCCATCATGAAAAAGTCATACAAGGTTCTTGTCCTCATGGAGCCAGCAGTCTAGTAAGAAATACAGAAAGTTGGCAGGGAATATTTAGGAACACCAGGAGAGCAGAGGCTATTCACTACCACATACCAGAGCCTAATATAGTGCCTGGTACATACTATATACTCAATAAGTATTTTGTTGTGCATATAAGGTACTACAGGTATGGTCAGTATAGTAAACAAGGCATAGTTTTAACTGGTAGTGTCTCTTCCCATTGGCATCTATAAGAGGTGGGTTCAGATTAAAGACCAGAATCCCTTTCTTCCTTGAGCTGTTTGAGTGGGGATATGGTGGTGGTTCTAGGAAGCTGCTAACTGTCTCTCTCTATCTCTCCCAGAATCCTGGGTCTGATGGCTTCTCTGAGGCAATCTCAACTTCCCAATGCCTAACAGTCATTCCTTTGCATTCCCCAAGTCTCATTTCTCCAGCTTTTAAAGACATTCCCCTACCACTACCTTCCTGGCTATTATAATAATCTAAACTAACTTAGAAGAGTATGTTGAGTGACCATTCAAAGGCCAAAAAAAAAAAAAAAAAAAAGCAAAAACCACAAGGCAGGAGGTGGAAGAAGCCACAGCTGAAGAGAGAAGGAGACTGTCTCAGATGGAGAAGAGGTGGTAGTGGCGTGGGTGTGTATTGTGTGGAGGACTGATGGATCTGGAGATGTGGAAGGGCCATGCCTCAGAAGGAACAGGTATGGTGCTCCTAAGACAGTTAGACCCAGAGCAGCAGTCTTAATAAAGACCCCTATGTATTAGTTATTTTTTGTTGCAACAAATTACCACCAACTTAGAGGCTTCAAACAACATACATTTATTATCTCGCAAGTTCTGTGCATCAGAAGTCCAGGCACAGTTTAGTTGCTTTATCTGCTTCAGGGTCTTTCATAAGGCTACACTGAAGGTGTCAACCAAGGCTGGGGTCTAATCTGAAGCCTCGATTGGTAAGGGATCCATTTCCAAACTCAAGTGGTTATTGGTAGGATTCAGTTCTTTGTAGATTATTGGACTGAGGACTTCAGTTCTTTGCTGGCTATTGTCTGGAGACTGACTTTGGTTTCTTGCCATATGGGCCTCCCCAACATGGCTGCTTCATCAAAGCTGGCAAGCTGCAAAGGCAATAAAGTCTGCTAGGAAAATGGAGGTACATCTTTAATAATCTAATCATAGAAGTGGCAGTCTATCAACATTCTATTAACTTGAAGGAAGTCATTCAAGAGAAAGGGATTACACCAGGGCTCGAGTACCAGGAGACAGGAATCATTTGGGGCCATTTTAGAAGCCACCTACCACACCCTGTGATGCACATCGTCAGTAATATGGAGTTACATATATAGGCCATAAAGACTTGGGCAAAGAGTTTCTCAGCATCAGTCATGATGCTTTCCTACTGATGAGAGACTGCCAATCCCCACCCATTCATATTTTCTTTCTTCCTTTTGGTAATAGTAACCCCCAAGTTTTTGGGAGGTACATGACTGTCCATCTAGAGATGACATATCCCAGCCTCACTTGCAACTAGCAGTGGCCATATGACTAAGTTCCCACCAATGGCACATGTGAGCCTAAGTGATGTATGTCACTTCTAGGTCACATCCTTAAAAGAAAGTTGCATGCTTTCCCTTTCTTCTTTTCTCTTTCTTGAGGCTGCAATGCAGACATGATGGTGGGCATTCAACTCAATCATGTGGATAGGACAACACCCCGGAGGATGGCAAAGCAACAAAACAGAAGGCATAAGGGTCCTCAGACCATCACATGAAGCAGAGCAGCCCACCTTTCCTGGGCTGCCTACCAGCTGGACTTTTATTTGAAAGACAGACCATCTTGTTTAACCCATTGTTACTTGGTGCCTATTAGAGCAACTAAACAAATATCCTAAATGATAGATCACAAAATGCTTCTAAGGCAGTTATTAACAGTGTTCCTGGTGAGTCTTCCTGGGACAGCTATGAATTACATCCTTTTAAAAGAGTACCTGAGAAAGCAAGCCCAGGTGATATCACCTTTTAAACTCCTCTTAAGCTGTGTTTGCTGATGTCCTCAAAATGAGTTCTCACCCACTCAAGGGTGTCTTCTTAGGATGCTGCTATGGAAAACTCCATCACTGTTTTCTAGTTTCGCCCATACTCAGGTACCCAGAGGACTTCACTCATGTGATTCTTCATTTATTTCACTATTTTTTTTTTTTTTTTTTTTTTTTGAGACGGAGTCTCGCTCTGTCCCCCAGGCTGGAGTGCAGTGGCGCGATCTTGGCTCACTGCAAGCTCCGCCTCCCGGGTTCACGCCATTCTCCTGCCTCAGCCTCCTGAGTAGCTGGGACTACAGGCGCCACCACCACGCCCGGCTCATTTTTTTTGTATTTTTTAGTAGAGACGGGGTTTCACTGTGTTAGCCAGGATGGTCTCGATCTCCTGACCTCGTGATCCGCCCGTCTCGGCCTCCCAAAGTGCTGGGATTACAGGCTTGAGCCACCGCGCCCGCCCTTATTTCACTATTTTAGGGGCTCTTCTCATGTGGCAGTCACTGTGTCAGGCACCAGGGAAACAGCAGACAGCAGAACAGACACGAGCTTTACACTCTCAGGAAGCTGATATTCCAGTAAGGCAGGAAAGACCCAATAAACAAATAAGATAATTTCAGGGAATTATACCACAAAACAACAACCTGAAATTTGTCTTCATGTCCCCTATAAATTACACAGGCAAACTGAGTCTACACACTGCTGAATATCTTATGGTCTCTGTGGTAGCCAGCCTCAGAGATGGCCCCCAGTAGTCCTTGTCTCTTAACTGCCTCCGACTGAAGGAGACGCATTATTTCCACAAACATTCCATTGGTGAGAATTAGTCCCATGAACACACCTAGAAGCATAGAGGATGGGAAACAGAGAAGCACATGGATATTTGTTGAACACTAACTGTGATCTGCCAACATGCTCATCATAAAAACTCAAGTAGGTCCGGGCACGGTGGGGCATGCCTGTAATCCCAGCACTTCGGGAGGCTGAGGCAGGGGGATCACCTGAGGTCTGGAGTTCAAGACCAGCCTGGTCAATGTGGTGAAACCCCATCTCTACTAAAATTACAAAAATCAGCCAGGCATGGTAGTGGGCACCTGTAATCCCACCTACTTGGGAGGCTGAGGCAGGAGAATCACTTGAACCCAGGAGGCAGAGGTTGCAGTGAGCCAAGATCATGCCATTGCATTCCAGGCTGGGCAAAAGGAGCAAAACTCGTCTCAAAAAAAAAAAAAAAATTCAAGAGGCTGGGCACAGGGGCTCACACCTGTAATCCCAGCACTTTGGGAGGCTGAGGAGAGTGGATCACTTGAGATTAGGAGTTTGAGACCAACCTGGCCATCATGGCAAAACCCTGTCTCTACTAAAATTACAAAAATTAGCCAGGCATGGTGGTGTGCACCTGCAGTCCCAGCTACTTGGGAGGCTGACACAGGAGAATCGCTTGAACCCAGGAGATGGAGGTCACAGTGAGCTGAGATGGTGCCACTGCACTCCAGCCTGGGTGACAGAGTGCAACTCCATCTAAAAAAAAAACAAAAAAAATTAAGTAGAAAACGCAAGTAGACAATAAAAGGGTTGCCTTATCCTCTACCTCTCATTGAAAAAAAAAAAAAAAACTACTGTTAACATTTGGCTCATTCATTAAATCAACACATCTTTTTTTTTTTTTGAGACGGAGTCTCGCTCTGTCACCCAGGTTGGAGTGCAGTGGCCGGATCTTAGCTCACTGCAAGCTCCGCCTCCCGGGTTTAACCATTCTCCTGCCTCAGCCTCCCGAGTAGCTGGGACTACAGGCGCCCGCCACCTCGCCCAGCTAGTTTTTTTTGTATTTTTTAGTAGAGACGGGGTTTCACCATGTTAGCCAGGATGGTCTCGATCTCCTGATCTCGTGATCTGCCCGTCTCGGCCTCCCAAAGTGCTGGGATTACAGGCTTGAGCCACCGTGCCCGGCCAAATCAACACATCTTTATGTATCACCTTCAGAGTCTCCCTTGCCCTGTCCCAGATGCTGGATATGATTCCTAACCTCGTGGCTTCCAGTTTGAGTGTGTGTGTGTGTGTTTGTGTGTGTGTGTGTGTCATTTCCTCATTTGCAAACTGGTTATAATAATAGTGTCTAACTTATAGGGTTGTTGTGGGGATTAAGTTATACAGATTAATGTGGAATACTACTCAGCCGCAAAAGGGAATGAAATAATGGCATTTGCAGCAACCTGTATAGAGTTGAAGACTATTTTTCTAAGTGAATAGAATAACTAAGTGAATTGAATAACTCAAGAATGGAAAACCAAACATTGTATATTCTCTTTTATAAGTAGGAGCTAAGCTATGGGGACACAAAGGCATAAGAATGATATAATGGACTCTGGGCACTCAGGGGTAAGGTTAGGAGGGGAGTGAGTGATAAAAGACTACACAGTGGGTACAGTGTACACTGCTCAGGAGATGGGTACACCAAAATCTCAGAAATCACCGCTAAAGAACATTTCCATGCAACCAAACACCACCTGTTCCCCCCAAATTATTGAAATTTTAAAAAGAAAGAAAAAAATTCATTCATTAAAAAATACAATATATAGCTTAAATAACTTAGAAAAATAGTACCTAACAAGTACTCAATAAAATTTTTTTTGCTATATATGCACAATATAAATATTTAATAAAAATAGTATTATACTACTTATATGTTCCTACTCTATGGTCTACTCCTTAAACCCTTTCAGTAATGGGGCTGAATTTCTACTTCAAAACATAGAAGACGGAGTTCATCATTTTAACCACTTTATCCATTGTCTGGATTTATCCTATATTTAGCCCAGAGGTTCACAGATGAGGGATTCATGAATGGGCATTCTATGCTGTTATAGATGGAATGTTTCTCTCCCCTCAAAATTCATATGCTGAAATCCTAACCCCCCATATGATGTTACTAGGAGGTGGAGCCTTTGGAAGGTCATTAGGTCATGAGGGTGAGCCCTCATAAATGGGA